TATATTTTGCCTGGATCATTTAAAGTGGGATGGTCATCACCTGCGTAGGTGTGGGAATTTAGTCCCAAATGATGATAACAACACACGCAAAAAACCCAAAGGCTCATGATGGGTTGTTGCTTGTTTGTAAACAATGACGCGCTATGGCCATTACATGATCTGACGCATGCGCAGGTGACACCACACCTGCTTTAATTAATTCATGGACATATCTAGAAGCATTATTGTAAACCATTTTTGACTCTTGTGTTTGAAGCAAACACTATGGGAATTTATGCGGTTACAGTATCCTGTACGTGTGTTTGCTATGTCTGTTCCACCGATATCTCAAAAACCACCTCATTAGTTTTACAATCAAATCTGTTCATGTTAATTTTCTGATTTACATAATTAGTTTTCAGCTAAGTAATTTCAAATTATATTTAATGTGTCTCCAATACTCTCAGCACATGGGAGTTCTTTCTAAGCTTTCTTTGATTTGTTTAAATCTGTGCATATTATTACATAATTTGCATAATAATTTGCTGTTTTCAGCTTTTAAACTATATCTCACAAAGCAAGAATCTGATTTCAATGTAATATCTTACAGATGTTTCTAGTACCTCTACTCTAATTGAAATGAAACACATATGCTTTTAAATAATTGACAGACCTGATTACTTTAAGGTTTTGAAATCCCATGCATATAAAATATTAATTACCTAATTTGCGTATCGTTTTTCTGATATTTCAATAACCTATCATTTCAATGAAATCTGGTTCATTCGTGGTCTGGGGTAAGCTATACACGTTTAGTTTACGGCCAAATTTTGAGCATACTAAATGCCTAATTTGCATATATTACAACCAATTTATAGATGTTTTCAGATATCTATTATTTTTTATCCTCTTCAAATAGTATTAGTTCTCAAAGGGTGGGATATATATGTCAACAGAAATTATAAATCTGTAGTTAATTTGAAATATTCCTTCAGTACATGGGTGCTCTTTTCCTCTTTTCTTTCAATTTGCCACTCTTTATTATGAGGGCATTAGTAGATGAAGATGAAAATATTATAATAAAATATTAAAATATTGACTTCAAGTGCAACATAATACACGTAATGTAAATAACAATAATAAAGAAAATGTAAATAATTTGAAAATAATTTGAGATATTTTGTTTAAGTCTAGCATTCCCCTGGTTTACCAATGAAATACTGCAATAGAATTAAATTTTTTTGACTGACGAAATTTGCCAACAAATGTGATTATATTTGTTTAAGTAGCATGTGATTACACAGACATGCTTTACTGAATTACATTTAATAGTGCAGCAGACTTTCTCACCCAAATTTTTCTGCACTTTTTTCTTTATTCTCCAATATTTCTGGAAATAAACCCTAATTCTGAAGCCAATTTGATTCAATTTTCAGTTTTTACTCAAAAAAATTGGCTGAAGTAAAGTGCAGACTATAAGCGGAACTATTTTGTGCATTTGCGATGAACTGGTGGTGAAAGGGTTAAAGAGATCGGGGTTGTCCTTGAGAAATGGCAATATAGTTGCATGATGGGATATCAGAGAATGGGGTGAGTTTATTGACCATGGCTATGTACACACGCGTCTCTTTCAAGTGCTCTTTGTTGTCAGTAACTCACAATGTATTTATTTGTTTTTCAGAAGCAATGTAGCACTAAAGACGACATGGATTTATACGACACTAAGCTCCATGAAGCAGTGCGCTATGGGGATACAAACTTGGTGTTGAAGTGTTTGAAAGACGGCGACAACCCAAATGACATTGGGCTCTACCAGTGGAGTGGTTTACATGAAGCGGCAAATAACGGCGATCTGGAAATCTTACAAATGTTGCTTGATTACAAAGGTGAGAGACAAAAAGTTTTTATTTTCGTTTCAGTATCCATGAATGTGTTCCACATTGCTAGATGCAAATGGTTCTGCTTCTGTTTGACTAATTGATAATTATTATTTGAATCTTTGATTGAAAACCGATTACAGGGCTCCCATGTATAAGTAGTGCTCCTACTTTTAGATCTCATGGGTAGTCAATGGAAGCTAATGTTGTGGGCTGTTCGTTTGTCTGTCCATCTGGCTGGCTGTGCAGCAAATTTGTAAACATGATATCCAGAGAATAAGTGATCAGAATCAGATGAAACTCAGCAGTCATATTAATTAATTAGGAAAATTTGCATATGAATGGAATTCTTGTTTCATTGATATTACAAGAACCAGTGCTCAGATTTACATGAAACAGTCATATACTTAGAACAATTTCAAAATTTTATAAGTGTTATTGAAAATATATTCATAGTTAATTAGAATAATTAGTATCTGAATTTATTTCTTGATGAAACTGTATTGACTTTGATGTAAGTTTTAAAAAGAATATCAGAAATAATATTATTAGTTCCAGAAGCAGCCCTGAATTTAACTTTGTTTCTTTTTTTTATTTTCATTGTTTCTTTATTGGAATTTTGAAATGTTATAGGGGAATGAATTCATGCTTCATTAATTTTCGCTGAGAAGATTTTACTGATTTTTGACAAGTTGAATGTAAAATATAGGAAAAAAAGTATATTCACTGGATTTTATTTTCACTGAATCAGCCCTTCAATAGTGTTCTTTCGCACATTTGCAGTTCAAGTTTTCCCCACAATGTATGTAAATGGCCAATCTTTCGTTGGAGTGCAAAGAAATTGGTTTATCGTCTCTTACTGAGACTCTATTTAAGGTATAATAATCAAATGTTTCTAACAGCATTGTTGCAAAGAAGCCTTTGTTAGTCCCCGTTTGGACGCAGTCCGAAAACGGGAACTTATGTTTTGACCTTCGTGCGTCCGTACGTGCGTGTGTGCGTGCGTG